CACCTCGGCCATTTCCCAAGTAAAATAAGGTTTGTATTTAGATCCATAACCTTCCTCACGAAAGACTCACTGACACAGAAACGAAACAATGTTCATGACAATAATGACTTCACAAAGCAGGGTTTCAGTTCCATATTCCTTCCGTTTTTGCGCGATCATTTTGGAAACGTTTTCGGGAAACCACCGGCTGTCTTCGCACTTTTAACTTTTTGACTCCTTTTCACCGCTCAAAATGGAAATTTCCGCACAACTTTCTTTAATTTTTTTTTAACATTTCGTCGCTATAAAATGGCTGAAGAAAAGATTTCTAAATTTTGGTTCATTTGACCTTTGAAACAATTGGCCATAATCTCGTCTTTAACAGTGGTGTCCTATAGCATTTATCGAGACATATTAGTACATCTCAGCTGAGACAAAGAAAATCAGCCCTTGTTGCGAATTTTCTAGACGCTGTTAAGGTTATGGTCGCCTGAGCCTTTATATTTATTTTCCGCATTATAGGTCTTAGACAAATTTCAATTCTTCCTAGATGAGAACGGCTATTTAAGTAAAACTTTACATGAATATTTTAGTTCACTGAGTTTTAAATTGATAAATTGCCTTCTTTTGATCCAAACAATTGGGAAGGAGTATTATCTAGACAAGTTTAATTTTAAAGTTTTTTCAGTCTTCCTGATTGACAAAAGCAAATATTTGTAAAATCAGTGCTTCTAAGTTTTAATTTATGTCCCTGTTGGCAGACCAAATCAACCATGCATCAGGGCAATTGTAATTACACAATTATTGTCTTTATAAGCGTTTATACACCTTTCACCTAGATAGGTCCCTCGCTGCACTTCTGTCCTATTTCCGACCAAAATTTTAAGGCCAGCGAGATTTTTGATTGAAGTACACTCAACAATAAAGGTAGTTTTCAATTTGGGATAAGAATTCTGTCTTTACCTACTTCGCCACCGGCTGAACGAAATTCCAGTGAAACTAAAATTAGATGTGTCTACGTGAGACAATTTTATAATGAATTGTACCTATTCTTAAAATTACTCTGAACTGTTTTTGTTCTTAAATTCTTGGAATATCAGGAATGGAAACAAGTTTCTCACGAGCTTCGGGGCAGTTAGTTTGTGATATAATCTAACATACCAAGACGAGTTTTTATTTCGATACAAAACGTGCAATAGTAACTAGGACAGTTTAAGTCGCCTCATTCGGCTGACTAGGTGTCTGTGAATATTGTGCAACACTCTTAAAATATACTCTTATATAGATCCGCTGCAATACTTTTAAAACTTGAAATGTACTTAATTATTTTAAAATGCTAGAAATATTAGTATATCAAACACTTTTTGAACCGTTACAGCAACAAAACATATTTGTTCAAACAGTGACGTCACTGCCAAGTTAACAAAGCCTTACAACGGTAGGTCCGGTTTGAGTGCAAATTGATTGTTCCTCAGTAGTGAATCACGGTTTCTATTTTTACCATTATTGTTCAAATCCTTTGCGAGATAATAACTCTTAGTATTCATTCATTATTTCAATTAGGTAAAATCGGGACAATATGCATTAAAACAAAGCCAAATTGCGGTTTGCGTCCCAAAAAACTCAAGTGTTCACTGGAAAAAGGCAAACTGTGACAACAATATCGTCGCGAGTAAGAGGTACAAAAGACAATTTTCAAGTGGCTTTGAAAGCTTTCTTGAGTTTAATACATTGGTTAATTCCAAACAATACTTCTGTTTGATTAGAGGATTTAGTGGAATTAGCACTACCGGCCGCTAAACACGCGCTATCTGAAAGTTCATCAACTACTTCATACAACTTCTGGAGGGTTAACACTGTGACTGAAATGTTAGGTGGGTAAAGAACTCTTTTGACTGTCGATGGTGGCTATTAATTTGGGAAATCTAGCAAAAAATTGACCTGTAATCTGATAAAAGAGTAATTGCAGTTGAGCATTCTAGATGGTTCAAGCAGACGTGGAAAATTTAGAATATCCAGCCGAGAACTGAATTACGAAAAACGTTTCATCTTTCAATCTTTTTTTCGTTGAAAGGCCTCGACCCTGATTAGATCATGAAACGAGTGTTAAAAGAACAAGCCAAGAAAATAGTCGAACAAAATTACTCCAAACAAGGGCATTACAAGTCTAAACTTTAAGGAATCTAATTAAACAAATTGTCATTTCCGACCAACAATCTTCTGTTTGTCGGCAAAAAAAACTAGAATGAATGGTTTTAAGTCTACGATAAATTTGACTACGTGACATGTTTGATTTTGTTCTTTATTCTTTTTTATTTCTAAGATTCTTTCTCTTGCGTATTCAATACTTTTTTGTTTGCAAAACAATTCAGGGCACTCGCATGAGTACCGCTGCGTGAAAAATGCCCTAAATTTCAATACGAGGACTCTATTCTTTATACAATAGACAGTGGTTGGGTTTCTGGTGAGATTAGAAATGGTCACAGGATGTTACGTGTTTCCTTTATTTCTGTCTTATTGTTGTTTCAAGTGGAAAAAAAAACTTCCGATTTAAGTTCAAATTCGCGATTGCGAAATGCCTTGGGTGAATGTATCTCTTGCATTTTTGGATCAGTGTTCATTCAACAAAGGGTGACACAGCAATTATGGTGACTTAGGTATATTGCTATTTCATGCGGTTAGTTCAGTATTTTGCCACACGCAAACTCTGAAAAGATATTAACAGGATAGTCACTGATTATCAAAAGAAAACATCACAACATTTGAATACGGCTGACCAATATCACTGTTCAGTGTCGTTATGACCAAACACCTGAGTCATTTTACATGTTTTTCAAAAGAAAAGTTTAAAAATCACGTACAGCAATCCTAAGTAGTCGCCGATATGACTGTTTATGTAGAAAGATTTTTAAACTTTGATTCAAAAGCTGCTAAACAAACCGACACACAAAGAAATAGTTTCAAAAAATGTTGGAGGCGAACAGACAAACTAAAAGTCAGTAGCATTATTAATACAAGAGATCGTAGTACGAATCTTCAGTTAACTGGTTTGCCCATCAAGGCATCGTTTCTTTTACTTGATTTGTATGAATGTTGTAGTCCATAACGTACTCTTGCATTGGGATCGTGCTTCTCATACTTTTGTCACACGGAAGAAGTACATGGCTACGAGAATCCACTATGACAATAAATTGTATCGTCATCCTAAGTGAAAACGCACCCGAAAAGGAGGAGAAAGGAAAGCATTCGGTTTCACCACGACCGACCACGTTTGACTTTCTAACGATGATTAATGGTCTTGTGGCTTCACAGTCGAAGAAAAACCATTGTTTAAATCTCTTTTCAGACAGTGCCTTGACAGCTATGTCTGAGTTTAGCCAGTTTTGTGGTTTCAGAGGGTTGTGGGAATTTGACTTGTGTTAGAAACTTTCACTTTCTGTGATGTACTTCTTGATAAAGTTTCGCGAATACACCATTCATTTTTGTCGTTGATTGCATTTTGAAGCCTTTTCAAGAAATACGCAGCCTGTATAAGTCACAAACGCGATCTCGCTGGCCAATATCAAGAACACAAAGCGATAACCTGTTTCAATATTGAAAAATACCATCCTTTGTGGCTAGTAAACTGGAACCAAGTAAGCCTCCTGCAGTTTTAGAAGTGGTTTCACCAAGCCAGCTCAAGAAGCATAAAATTGTCGTAGATTCGAATAAAGTGTTCTGCATCAGCTGCATCTTTAGAACCTCGTGAAGTAGTTTATGAATAAAACTTGGATCATTAATGCAGTGGTGGCACGGCATGCATAAATTTTCGAGATAAGTGATATTGATTTCATGTTCTGTTTATATGTTTTGCTTCGTTGCCTCAGTTAACAGAATATTCCAGTTTAGTGGATGATTCGGCTCGGTATTCTCATCACCTGCCTGGTTTGCAATGGTCCGTCTTGTGAGACGAAGTTCGATGTTGATATATGAAGCAATTACAAATTTAGGCCAAAATTCAATCTTCCTTACTGCGCGGATTACTGCGAACATGGCAACCGTGGCGAGTGTCACAAATAACACACTTACATTTTTTCTTCAGTTCAACTCACTAGGCTCAGTTATGAAGAGATACCTCTTAGGAGCACATCCATTATTTAGCAATTAACCCAGTGAGCAAACTCGAACTCGATTGACATGACATCAGAACTTCTGATGGGATGCATGGATCGCTGAGGAGCGGGTAGAAAAAAGTTTGCATTTAGTAAAAGAGAGAATAATAATAATCAAAAATACTTTCCCTGCTGACTAGGCGAGCTGTTCCATTAAAACATGTTATGAAAAACAGGGGAGACTGGGAAAGAGCGACGTGACTCGATATTTTCCCATATCTGTAATGTCATATCTGTCATGTCCATTACGTGTCTTGGAATATCAGTAAAATAAGCACGTTTCTGCACCGTAAGACAAAAAGAGGTAATTGTTTCAGTTGTGAAGCCCAAGAACCCATTGTACAGTGTTGTATACAGATTGTAAGTCACAAAATAGCACGGAAATGACGTCACCACGCCGTTGGTTGATCACGGAACTTGAACGGATTCGTCAGTTCCGATTTGTGCTAACTAATTGATTCTTGCTGTATAATTTGTATTATTGTTATTGTTGAAACTTGTTGCGAAATCGGTTGTTTAGTGTTCCCTAGAAATGTTTTGTACTAGGGTTAGGAAAACATGAAGTTTGTTCATTTGTTTGCGTCATAAAATCTCGAGTGTTCAGCATAAAGGAGCAGATAGTAACAATATCGTCATGAGAAAAACGAACAAAAGGCAATTAAAGGATTGGCTTTGAGGATGTTATAAGCTTATTATATCAACTATATCTACTAGCAAAGAAAACAAAGTTTGTTATGCGGAATCACGTCAAACGTGCTCTCACTCTCACTGTCGGACTGATCTGAAGGTTGACTCCCAAACTTCCCTCTGGACAGGCCCGTTTTTGAACACAACTTGTTTGGTGGGTAAATACTTAACTATTAGCTATACTATATGGAAATTAAAATACAGATTTAGTAGATTAAACGAACAGAGATGATTCAAACGAGATACCAGGTGATTCATCAATGATTTTGTGTAAAAATGCTCGTTCGTGCCATATTTGTATCCCTCCGCTTGTTCAAATACTCTCTTGTTTTATGTTTCGCTCCATGTCTGAACTTTTGCAACCACGATATTGAAAGTGGACGACAAGAAGAAACTTTTATTCTTGTGGTATTTTATCTCGTTTTCGACAGTTGTTGTTTTTTTATTTTATTAATGAAATAAACAATAAGCGTCAGCTATCACCTTGAGCTAAAGATAGAAGTAAGTTAAAAGATAAGCAACAACTATAACACAGGCAACTTTCAACTTAAAATCATCGGTTTGTTCTAGAAAACAAAAAGCAATATTTTGAGATTGATTCTTTTCTACTATTATGCTTAATCTATCCATTTTGATTTCTTTATTTTTTTTTCGCACTTTATACATCACGTCGCAATGTTTACTTAGCTTGAACTTCAGTCCTCAGCAATAACTGGGTGTCTGTAGATTCTTCACTAAATACTATATTCACTGGAAGATGAATTCGTTATAAGAATGTGTAAATTAGTGACCTAGGATGTTGCGTGTTTGCCTAGTTTCTTCTCATTATCCTTTTAATTGTGAAAAATGTCTAAATTAAGTTTCAATTTCGGATTGTGAACCCTCTATCGATGGAAATGAGTTGTTCGACGCAACTTCTTTTAGACTCAATAGTCACTCAAGTCGCTTTTGGGCATTTTGTTACGCGTGAATAAAAAGCAGTTATCAGAAAATCGAAGCATAACGAGCCCAATATCAGAGCTGTTCAGTGTCATTTGGATATCAAGCCTCTTTGGATTATAAAAGAAAAAAAAATGCCTGAATTATTAAAGGAATTCGGCACATTTTTGTGAAAAAGATAATCTACACGTCACGCAATGGAATGTTGCGACCTGCCTGCTTTTCTTGGTGTATCACTATTATCATATACTTCTGCCTAGTTTCTTCAGATTCTCTTGTCATTTGCTGATTAATTTGTTTATGATGATTTTTAACTATTCATTTGTATGGCTGATAAAGCAAACAGTTATCATAGGATAAATAGTTGACAACTTTATTTTTTCGAATTCCGAGTATAAGTTTGTTTTCTCAGCCGAAAGGGGTGTCTTTACTCACTTGGATCGCTGTTCAGTCTTTTATGAACTGTATCCAGGGCGGCGTCGTCCAAAACCACAAACTATTTAGTGGTAATTATAACTCTGTTTGACCTTCCATTAAAGGCATCATTATTTACCTATTTCCTTTCTGGTATCACTAATGGCTCAATTAAGAAAACCAATTAATCATGTATTCGTCGATGCTACAACCATCACTTGGTCTTTATTCAAAGACGACCGAGATCTTGCCCAGTGTATTTCCTTTTATGCATGCCTGTTTCGTGATCAGTCCCTCTAAGAGCCATGGCGTGCTTGTAAGACCTTTAGTTCTAGTAATATTTTCGCTGTCCAGTAGGTCTTGTCGAAAGTTACAATTCCGTCTTTCCCGGTCTTGTAAGAATTTTGCGGTTTGAATGTAAGGAGAACAAAAACGCCGCTTCGCATATCCGGTATTCTGTATCGCATTTTAATGATCAATGTTTTTTTGGTTTGGTTTGGTTTTGTTTTGTTTTGTTTTGTTTTTTTCTGTCTGCGGCAAATGGTTCAATACATGCAAGTAAACCATGCAAGGGCTAACTTGTGCTTTGTAATCAAGTCAAGTAAACGTTTGAAAATTCCCAAGGCCAGAAACATTGGTTTACCCGTAGCTATACTACGGGATCTTGTTTATTGCCTCCAACTAAACTATATTTTTAGACCCTATCGTTATTCGTTCAGCCGTGCAATTAGAGTTGGAAGATAAGAGATACAGTTGCATTGTCGTGAAAGGACAAAAGGTCCTGAAAGGCGGCGATCGCTGAATATGGTTAATTGTCGTATCGATATCAGTTATCGTATCTAGCTATGGTATGAGTCAGCAAGAAATCAAACACACCAGTGTTGTCAAAACAGTTGAGATAATCCGAAGTTCTTATTGCGTGTTTAACATTCTAACGAACTTAAAAATATGAATCGCGTAGAAGAAAAGAAAATTGAGAAATTTTTCCCAAAACTATTATAAAATATAGCTGTTGCACATATCTCTAGGGCCGAGGAGGTAACGGGAGTAATTAGGTGTACAAAGTAGAATCTCATTAAATTCTTTTGAAAGTTAAATAAACTAGTCGCTTTAGGACAAATAGGGCTAGAGCGGAAAACCACGCTGTCGCCACTACTGTTCATTACAAGCTAATGATGATTAATGGCTCAGTTACAGCTGGAAATTAAATTCAATCTTCAGTTGCTGATTACCAAGGTCTCTTTTTCTGACTTAACCTGCAGAGTAGGCGTGATTTTTTTGCGTATTTAAATTTTGATTTACTCTTTTAAGACCATGTTGTTGTTTTGTGCGCTGTTTGCGTGCTTCGATCTGTTGATTTTTCTAGGGTAAACTTCTGTTCGGGAAGTTTCTGTCACGTGACGTTCTCTGATGTACTTTCGTCTGAGTTTCGTGCAAAACCAAGCTGTCGTTGACGCAAAGCGCATGTTTGTCTATCCTCTAAAAACATTATTTTCTATCGCAAATCCGGCTAAATGTCGCTGGCAATATAATATATACAACATTTACAAACGATAAGCCGTTTTAATGACGTGATGACAAATATCAGTAATTAGAGGTGTTTAGAATTTTAACAACTTAGAACTCGCAGAATGAATGCCACACAATCCTTTGCAACTAATTAATTGGAAACAATGATGCCAGGTTGTCTTTCATGGCCCTGCCAGTGCTAAACCGAAAAAAACTACACACCCGAACAAGCATAAAATTGCCCTAGATGTGCGAAACGTGGCTCATATTCTTTTAGCACCTTGTTGAGGTTTGCATGCGTCATCAATTGTGAGTCGCCATGCAAATATAGACTTTTCCAGATGTGAGATATTGCTTTCGTATTCGATTCTTTGTTTACTTTTTTATTGATGGTTAGTAATTGATTTCAATGCATTAGATAATAGACTAAGCACAGCCCTGGTGCAGATAACGAGCTGGCATCCGGCTCTCGACTATTTATTTATTTTCCACAGTTAGAGGTGTCTAGTGTTAGAGATTCCTCGTCTAGAAGTCAGCTCGTCAAGTTAGTGTTCCTGAGATCGTCTCGTTTAATTTCAAGCATCTCGAGCTTTTTGTTTTTAGATATTTTTAACTTTCTGGTCGATTTTAAGCCATTGGAATGTAGCGTGGAATTCAGCAATAGCAGATATGTGCGAACCAAGCTATTATGTTCAGAGTAGGTGTTTAATAAGCGGTTCGCTTGATTGATTGTTCTGAACTCCTGAGGCCAAACTTTGTAGTGCCAATTAATCACGGCGTTGGTATAACTTCGGGCAATTAACGGAAAAGATCACAAGCTGTTAGCAGGGCACTGCAACTGTTGCGAAAGGTAAACTGAAAAAGAAAACTGATTTTTGTAGTCAAATGGCCTTGAACATTTGGCAATGGACGCGTTTGTTGATGTAAACTTTACCAGTAATTAGTCCCTTAGAGACCTTTCAACAAAGCCTCACCATTCTGTGTTAATCTTTTCAGCTTTCAAGATCTTCTGAGCAAGATTTCAAGAACATTGTCTCGTGACCAAGATACAGCGCACACCATTAAAAATTGCATACCGTCTTAAAGGAGGACGACAAATCTTATCGATTGGATTTTCTTAGTTTCCCGACGGAAGGAAACTAACTTTGTCCTCATGAAGCCCGATTTCATGGATGAGTATCAGCGTCCGCCGGTGTTCAGCGTGGCGAACCAACCACTTTCGTACACGGCGCTACAAGGCAGGCTTTTGAAAGCCTCAAGTGTGAAGGATTTACGAGATAGAACTCTTATTACGCAAACTCAGCCGAAGAACGGGCGAGTTCCATCGCCGTTTAGGAAGTTCTCTGACACTTTTAGAAAAAGAGGATTCGCTAAGTCGAGCAGTACGGCCAAGAAACAGAGAAATGGGAGCATATCAAGTGATAGCGGCGAAGGTTCTCTCTCTGATGTCCAATCAACGACAAACGACAGCGTTTTACGGAATTCGAAACTATCACAGCAAAGCCAAAGCAAAAAATCCAGTGCTCAAGAAATTCAGGAAGTCTCGCTCAGCAAAAAACCTCAACACTTAACTTTTCGTAAACCGCGAAGATTTAGTTCGCCAGCTAGCTCTCCGACGAGACAAAATTTTGGCGAACGTTTTCCAGATACCACTTCACCACTGAAGTCGAACTTGAAAGATCACTCAAATCGTCGGCGAGGTTCATCTTTACCTGATGCGTTATTTGGAGGTGCCAATAGGATTACAACCCGTAATATCCGGGATTCGGGAGCTTTTGGTATCGGCTGTTTGGAAGAAGATGACGACGAAGGTCAATACGGCAATGATGTGCGCAAATGTTTAGATTTGACACGTCCACTATCAAAACATGCCAAGTCTTCCGTTTTGCTCATTCCTGATCAGAACAACAACGAGCTCGAGTTCATCGAATTGAACAAACTTCTCGACAAAGAGACGCTCCAAGCATCAGCGGTTATTCTCGACGAAGAAGGCATGACAATTCTGCACCGCGCCGTTCAGAATGGCTTCCTTAATTTGACCAAGTTCCTCGTGAACAGTGGTGTTTCGACCGAGATGACGGATTTTGAAGGCAGGACTGCCCTTTGTGTGGCGCTAGAAAGAGGAAACCATGACTGCGCCGAGCTACTGCTGAGGCTCGGAGCAAACGTCAACTTTGCCATGAAAGGTGGCAAAACAATTTTGCATCAAATGACTCAAGAAGGGGATTATAGAGCAGTCCAGTTGCTGGTGAAACATGGTGCGGATTTAAATATGGAGGACGACAAAGGATGGCCCGCGCTGCACTATGCTTTAAAGAGAAAGGACCTCAAGTGTGCAGCGCTATTAATGACCTCTGGAGTAAACATTCATCGCTACACAGAGAAAAGGATACAAGAATATTCCATGTCCATGGAAATTGTGAACATCGGAAAAGTCAAATTGGACAATTCAAAAACAGTGGACCACGACTTGGAGCCCGAAGTTACAATAATCTGACACTGGACAAAACGTGCATTTCTTTCAAATACCGATACCGAGAGAACTTTTGGTGCTTTAGGTCTCCTTTCTTTTCTGTAATCTAAGGTTGTTTTCATTCAAGCATTTAATGATTAGTTGCTAAACCATAAAATTTGTTTTCGATTGTTAGGTCGTCCGGTTTCCGTGACGAATTCAGTGTTGCCTTGCAGCTTTTGTGTACAATATTGGTCATAGTGTACCACATCACGAAGCAAGACATGCTAATTTTAAGTTTGCTCGTTTGAAGCAGTACGAAATCGGCATTTTATCTTGTCAAATATTTTTAATTTTTTTAGAGCCTTTCCAGCTATGATAATGTGATAAGACTTAGAAAGAAAAAAGCTAGGGTTACGAGATATAAAATAATTGCGTGGTTATATACCAAGATATATTTATACATAGATTAAGGTTGGTCAGTGTTGTACTCTAATGTATATAAAAGAGAAATTAGAGTCGCACATAAATTATTAAATGGCAAATTTTGCAAATGATAAGTCAAAATAAGGGCATAATTAAACCTTAGCAGGATTGTTAATTCAGAATTCAGTGGACAAAGTATCAAATAAACAGCATGGTAGGCTGCCATAACCTGTTTCCGCTGTCAATGTTGTTAAGCCTACAGTTTCCGTCTCCTGATAGAAGTCGATACGTTTGTTCTAATAACAGCTGGAAGAATTTGATCATATATGCGTGAGCACAATGCCCCCCTCATGATCACTGCCTGTTTTCTCCGTGACCTGCATACCCAGTTCTGTAATAACATTTTAAGAAGAAATTAGTCTCTAATCACCGTCTGGTTTTGAAGGGTCTATTTATGACTGGCTTTCAATTTGACTAGCGATACGCAAACAGAGGTATCGCAGTTATCTCAGTCAAGGCAAGATGACATCTTCAGAAAATGCCGCTCTTAGCTCAGTATTTCGCACATCCATGGTTTTTTTAAGGCATCATTCTATACTTATCATTCCTTGGTACACAGGAATTTTGTTTCGTCCTGTAATCTTTGTTATTTTAGCCCTAGTAAAGATATTTTAAGACTGTACGTAAATGAAAACGCACTTAATCAATATCCTACTTGTATTTCGCACATCCGTGGTTTGGTTTAGAAACCAAGTCCATATCTGCCCAGGAGTATTCACAGTCCCTTCCTCGGTGTTCACGTGCTGCATTGTGTATGGAAACACAAAGGGTGCCTCGAGGTGATTAGGATCAGGATCAGTGGTCCAAAATAACTCAGATCATGGTACATCAAAGGAACCGATGAATCCACTCTGGTCACAGATTCATCGGTTCCTTTGATGTACCATGTTCCGAGTGATCTTGGATCACTGATCCTGATCCAGATCACTCCAATGGAACGCACTTTAATAGATCATTTGGAAAGAAACATTACAGGTAACTTAACCGATTAACATAAGCCTCTGCAAACTGGTTTCAATGAGCTTGGATCAGACAGTTCTTCCGGCGGATTCCTTGTAGTATGATTATTTTGGCAGGGCTATTGTTAAGGTTTTCATGAGTCGAATTTTTTTTTTTTGCATGACAAATCCATGAATACCACTCATATAATCGTGTCTTTAGTGATGTTTATATCACTACAGACACGCGGAAGTAAAATAGATAATAGATTAGATTAAAAAGATACATGCAGAATTTACAAAAGGATCAAAACATTTATAGCTTTTGCTTCTAATAGAAAAAGATGCTGCTGCAACGGCCTAGCTATGTGGAAAGAAATTTGCTTAGTTCCCTTAAAAATGGACTGATGTGTGGTATTAAGAAAAAAAAAAAATTTTGTATCGGGCCTCGTTTTGAAACAGAAACAAGAACTCTGAAATAGTCGATTGCCGAATAGAAAACGATTACTGTTTTGGGAAGCTATTTTTAAATCAAACATAAATATCTCATTAAAAGTGTACAGTTAAGTGTGTAATATTACTCACTGTATTTGCACAACTTGTGCTGTATTTGAAAGATGACCTCATCGATTACTAATGAAGATATTGGCCTTACATGTAAAGAACATCTTCCGAACTTAAAGCTTATAAATTATGCAATTTCTTTTTAACGTTGTAAGATACAAGTTTGCTGCGGGACATATGTTACAATACCGCAACTTTTGCTCTCCCTTACGGTACATGCTGGCTCTATTGTGTTTTTGACAAAAAAGCATTGCATTGTCGGAGTCGGTCATATTTCGTTCGCTGTCAGAATACATCGATATCACGACTATTCAAATCTTGAGACAATTATATATAGTTTGAGTTAATATTGGAAAGCTTAACTGAAGTGAACGTTGCAGCTGATATTTCAGACTACAATGACTTTTTTATACGAACACAACAAATAGGACATTTTAGCATTGTATTGACACAGAAACCTCGTATCTAGTTACTTGTGGTCGGGAACAAGCCTCGAGACACGAGAACACGTGTACTTTTTACTTTTCTTTTCGTCAGAGTTAGAGAAACTTTGTTTAAGATTTCCATGAGTCATCTACATGTAGCCTTTTTTCTTCGAACTTTTTTCTTTTTCTTTGGTTAGTTTTGATACACTATCTTCAACAAGTCGGCTTAGGTGTTGGTTGCTATGGTACAACAGTGAGGTTGGCTAATCATATATATTATTGTATATTGTTCTGCTATAAGAAGCTATTAAACATGGCTATTATTAGTCATATTATGTCAAGACTGAATGTTCTGCCCCGAATTTTAAATGGTTTGTTCACTCTAAAAAGTGTCTTCAGTATTGGTTCTGGAACTTATGACACCAAGATGTTTGGGGAAGTCGGCCAGTGTTGAATTAACAGAAATCTAGCCAATCCAGAACTTCAGAGCGGACGCTACCTGCTCCTCGTGCCCATCTCCCCCTGACCAAGAGTGACAGGCGGCTTGGGGGACAAGAAATGACACCACGTGCAGTGTGTGAAACATCAATCTCGTTTCCAGGGTCTCTCATCTTGCCGTCCTCCCGGATGAGAGACCCTAGACCCGCTGACCCAATGTCTGCCCATTCTTTTTAGCCCTTATGGTTATTTTGGGCAGGCAGTACTCTATACTAATTTAATGTTTATTGTAATTATTTTATAAATTGTGAGTACAAATAAATGGTTGTTGTTATCTAGGAACGAGGTTGGTGGGACATCTCTTGCGTCTTGCCGGGAATGGAGTAAGGCATGCAGAGTTGGAAATCTGGAACAAGTCGTAAGTTACCGACTGCACAGACAGAAATGAATTACAGTCTCAGAGAAGCGTTGTATGCAAGTAGCAAAGTTGAGAAACAAGAGAACTGACTTTTCCATGTTTACTTTGTACCTCCCGGCATAGTCAATCGAACCAAATCGAACTGTATTTCAATCTAACTCGATCGCCCTAAAAATCGAAGGATTGAGTTCAGATTGACATAAATTACTTCACACAGGTGTGGAGCCTTATGAATGCAAAGAGTGGAAAAAGTTTCAGCCAAGCAGGAATTTTGAAGATGCATTCAAGAGTCCACACTGATGAAAAACCTTGTGAATGCGAACAGTGTGTGGAAAGCGTTTCAGCCAAGCAGGAACTTTGTTGAAGAATCATGTAAAAGTCCACACAGGTGAAAAGCCTTATGAATGCAAACAATGTCTAAAGTGTTTCAGCCAAGCAGGAACTTTGTTGAAGAATCATGTAAGAGTCCACACAGGTGAAAAGCCTTATGAAAGCAAACAGTGTGGAAAGTGTTTCAACCAAGCAGGAACTTTGAAGAATCATGTCAGATTCCACACTGGCAAGAAGCCTTATGAACGCAAACAGTGTGGAAACTGGAAAGTGTGTCAAGGGAGCTGTAAGTTCAAGCAATCATGTAAAAGTGCAGGGTTCTAATTGTGATATTAAGAGTAATACATCTACAGCAACATCTAACTTTCAAGAACCTGAGCTATGTCATGTGGAATGTTGGATTTGTCAAGAGGAATTATGCAGTGAAGCCCAACTTTTCAAACACTATGATAATCATATGAAATAGTTTTAACATTTTTGCTCAATGTTATTTTCTGTAAGCACTAAGAGGCCCTGGTAATCGGCCACGTCCAGTTCACTAAAATCTGATCACGGTAATGAAATTTAAAGGACTTTTAATTAGGAAACGACTAGCTGAGCTAATGTTTTGACCAAGTTGAAGTGATTGTCGAAAGATTCTAACCTGCATTGTTCAATTTTTGATGGATTTATAAAGAGAACTCTTAAAAATAATAGCTACCAGCCACTTTCAAGTTTTATAATAGGGTATTTTGTTGAAGCCTCTCCTTTGGTGTGTGATCACATCACAGTTTAAAGCAAAACTGCCCACATGTATTCCAGGGTCCCTGGCATGGGAGCCGCTGGAGCCATACGGCATTACTGGATAAAGTTTTGCACTAAAAAAACAGCTACAACTACGTCGTCGGCGATCTGTCCTTTCTTATGTAATCATTGAGTTACAAACACACTCTTTTCAGTAACAGCATTGAATTTGTGGTGAAAGTGAAGAAGTTTCCAGAAGATATTGTTGGCCCAAAATGTTCCTTGAAATGTTTCGTCTGTTCTGCTGGGCATAATTATGAACTGTGCATAGTTAGGAAGTAGTGGTTTTAATGAGCTGCAATCCTGGCCATAAGTTGTTGGGACACTTACCCTTTGTCCGCGCTAAAACCCACGATTTCAACTACATCCTTGACGTTTTAGAACAAAAATGAATAGAAACAAGTATAATTGATCCCCCTCCCCCTAGCAATGTTGCAATAAAATGAAGCCCAAAAATTTATAAGAAATTGAGAAATATTGCCATAAAAAGAAAGCATAATTCTTGAAAAAACCATGACAATAGCTTCAGAAATGCCACGTTCAAGAATGTTTTGCCTCCTAAAAACGGTATTCTTGAACTAAAGAGACGATAAGATAAATGTTCACGTCTTATTCCCATAATAACGATTTTTCAAACACTTTTGCCAGAATTACTTTCAAATATCAGGAGACTTAAATAAATCAGTGGAAACCCAAGAAGGTAGAGTGTAACCTGCCATGAGCAGACAGTAATAGTAAATTGTCCGCTAAAGAGAGGTGCATGCTTATTTGAGGCTTAAACAACTGTTAGTATTTGTTTGAGCCTCGGACCATATCAAAGGGTCTTACAAAATTTGCTCATATACATTCTTAAACAAGAAAACGAATATATCGCAGGCAAGATTAGCTACGGTATTTGTCTGTAGGAACCAGAAGCTTCTGTATTACGAATGCTAATACTGCATGAATCGGTTGTTCTCATTTTGTGATGTTGTAGTTTTACTGCGGAACCACTGGCCTGCGGCTCGTGGTTCCACAGCCACGTTGACGATGTTATGACGTAATTTATCATCAATAAGAGGACAGACACATAAAAAACTGACGTCAATTTGTTAAACAAAAGACGTCAAACAGCGTGGTAGGAACATCAGTGACAGCTTTAAGGATTTTGTTTCCATGGCAACGCTGAAAAATATTTAAATTTCAACAAAAGAACTTTTAAGTATTTTTTTAATGCGTTGATCTCGCAGAATTTTCACCAAACGAACGCGGGGAAAATAAGTGATTCAGGAC